CCCGCCCCTCCTCCCACACCCCACTGCCCCAGCTGGGCAGCTTGTCCCACCCCAGCCCCAATACCTCCCTTGCTCACTGTGGGGCTATTGATCTGCCCTCCACACACACCCCTTCCCTCCCTTCTCTGCCCACCACAACAGACTTGCCATCTGGAGGCAGCTGTGTCTAGCTGCCTGTTTAGCTGGACCTCCCGCCCCCTCCTTCACACACACTTCCACATTCCCACACCTCCCCCCAAATAAACTCCACACATGTGCAGCTCTCAGGACTCAGCTTGAGTCACACACAGCTGAGGGGTTTGCTTGCCATGGGCCATGAGTGCCCCAAGGGCCCGCTGTATGCTGCTATGAGCCATACCCTGTGTAACAGGGGCTCAGGCAGGAGCCCTGTTACTAAGACAAGGTTGGGCAGGATTGACCTGAAAATGCACCCTGCCAGGTGGAAGTAATTACACACCTGGTACAAGATTGGGTGATTAGCCCGCCAAAACTTGCATAAATACAGCAGTGGAGCATCTACTTGTTGCCTTCGGGCACAAAGAGAGAAGCAAGGAGCATTGTGAGACTCAGATGGTGAAGAACCTGAGGAATCCACCTGATAATCAGAAAGAGGTGCCAAGACTGAGGGATTCAAGACAGAGAACTCATTCAGGCAGGCTACCTACCTTGAGGTTGCAGCAGCTCCGGAGAGTGCAAGGAGAATGGAGGCTAGACAGAGCCACACTGCAAGGCATCCTGGTGGGAAGAGGGCATCCCACGGGTGGCAGATGACAGATGGGCAAGAAGACCCTACACCAACATGAATCTCAAACCCCTAAGGGACACTGTAGAGAGTGGTGACGCGGGAAGCAGGAAAGCTGCCAAGATGGTCCCAGTATAAGACTTGCATTGTGAGACATGAGAAACATGCCTCACTAACCAGATAATTACCACTTAGAATGCTGAGCATTACATTGTTTCCAGGAAGCATCCTGTGTTAAGAGAACTGTTTGGCATTGCTGGGAGGCTTTGCCAATGAAGTAATTGGTGAGGCTACCGTTACTATAATCCCTTATCTTAGAAAATAAACTAGCACGCTGAGCAAGTTACATCTGGGTGAAGCTTGTTAATTACTAGCACTTATAAGACCACTGATCTCTTTCATTTTCCTTTTAATCCAAGTCGTGGCAGGCGAGTATAGAGGAGAGATGGAACTAGAATCACCCCACCCACTCACACCCTGCTTTTATTTTCTCCAGCATGCTCAGTGAGTGTGTTGAAGCAGCAGCAGGTTTCATCATCCATCTAGATGCTCTGGCCAGCTACCCAAGTGTCTCCTTGGAGGACCCAGCCTCCAGTTGCTTCCAGACATGCTTTGAGAGTGTGCTGTACACCACTTTTTTCCAGTATCAAATTCAGGGTCCACACTGCAAATATGTAGTGCGAGGAACATTTTTTCATGTACAGTGTGCCTTCTGTGGCATCTCAAACTCCTCTGACATGCTGCTATACACATATGGATGCAGCCTATAAGTGTATCTCTTCCCCAGAAAGCTTACAACATAAAACCCAAATTCAGCAAGATCATAGAATCATAGAAGTAGGGTCAGAAGGGACCTTGTAGATCTTCAAGTCCGACCCCTGCCTGGGCAGGAGAAAAAACTGGGCTCAAATGATCCCAGCTAGGTAGGCATCAAGCCTCCTCTTAAAGACCCAAGGGTAGAAGCCAGCACCACTTCCCTTGGAAGTTGGTTCCAGATCCTAGCCGCCCTGACTGTGAAGTAGTTCTTATGGATATCTAATCTAAACCTACTCTCCAACAACTTGTGGCCGTTATTTCTTGTTATGTCAGGGGGCACTAGGAGAAACAAGGTCTCTACCAAAACCTTCTGGTTCCCCCTAGTGAGTTTATAGACGGTCACCAGGTCCCCCCTCAGCCTTCTCTTGTGAAGGCTGAACAGGTTCAGGTCCTGCAGTCTCTCATTGTAGGGTCTGTCCTGTTGTCCCTGGATCATGCGGGTAGCCCTTCTTTGGACCCTCTCAATGTTGTCCACATCCCTCCTGAAGTGGGGCACACAGCACTGGACACAGTACTCCAGCTGAGGCCTGACCAGTGTCGCATAGAGAGGGAGGATCACCTCCTTGGCCCTGCTTGAGATGCATCTGTGGATGCATGACAAGGTGCAGTTAGCCCTGCCAACCATGACCTTGCACTGTCGGCCCATGTTCATCTTGGAGTCAATAATGACTTCAAGATGCCTTTCTGCTTCCATGCTCTCAAGAAGAGAGTTTCCCATCTTATAAGTGTGCTTCTGGTTACTACTGCCCAAGTGTAGCACCCTGCATTTGTCAGTATTGAAACACATCCTGTTTTTGTTAGCCCACCCCTGTAACCTATCCAGATCTTGCTGCAGTCTTTCCCTCCCTACTAGCGTGTTCACCTCACCCCAAATTCTGGTATCATCAGTGAATTTAAACAAGTTGCTTTTCACCCCATCCTCCAAATTGCTGATAAAGAGATTGAACAGCGCAGACCCAAGGACTGAGCCCTGAGGGACTCCACTGCCCACTTCCTCCCCAGGTCGAATATGACCTTCCACCACCACCCTCTGAGTGTGACCCTTCAGCCAATCTGCAATCCATCTGACTGTGTAGGCATCAACGCCACAGTTGCCCAATTTTTTAATGAGGATGGGGTGGGAGACGGTGTCAAAGGCCTTGCTGAAGTCCAGAAAGACTACATCCACCGCGACACCTGCATCCAAGGCTTTTGTGACCTGATCATAAAAGGCAATCAGGTTGGTCTGACATGACCTGCCCCTAATGAAACCGTGCTCATTGCCCTTGAGCATCATCTCTGAGGCCAGCCTATCGCAGATGTGCTCCATGATGATCTTCTCAAAGAGTTTCCCTAGGATTGAGATAAGACTGACGGGCCTATAGTTGCCTGGGTCCTCCCTCCTCCCTTTTTTAAAGATGGGGACCATGTTGGCTATCTTCCAATCATCTGGCACCTGGCCCGAGCACCACGAGTGCTCGTAAAGCCGTGCCAAGGGCCTTGCAATAACCCTTGCTAGCTCCCTCAACACCCTGGGGTGGAGAGCATCTGGACCCGCTGATTTGAACACATCCAGCCCCTCCAGAAGCTGTCTAACCCGGTCCTCCCCAACCTGAGATCTGGAGGTGTTCCCCTCGAGTCCGTCTTGCATCACAGTGGGGAAGTCCCGGTCCCTGCCCAAGAAAACGGAGGTGAAGAATTGGTTAAAGAGGTCTGCTTTCTCCTCTGGCGCAACCACCAGATTGCCCAGAAGATATTCAAGGCCAACTTTAAAAAATGCAACATCAATGTCAACTCATGCGATACTATTGCTTAGGGCTGCCCCAAATGGAGGAAGAGTCTGCTGCAGGGATCTCAGTACTTTGAAACATCAAAATAACAACAGGAGATGGAAAAGTGGGAACGGCAGAAACAGCATGTCATAGACCAAATGAAGAACCCAGCGCCACCCTGTGCACACAGAAACACACGTCCAAGCTGCAGTAGAGTCTGTCAGTTCTGGATAGGCCATCAGCCATCTTTGGACACACAGATAAGACAACCATGGAAGACAATTACCCACGACTGCAAAGGATTTCTGAAGAAGATGACAATGTAAAACCCAAATTGAGCAAGATACTAGGTAAAGATATTGAATTTAGTTAAATCACCTATTATTTTCAAGCCTCAAATAACTGGCTGAAATGAGGTATAACATAGATCTACTACAGCTTTTCTGGCTACAAAAACATGGACCACACCCAAATGAAACATCTTCTTCATGCATTGCAACTTGGGGACATCAACTGGGTCCAGTTAATTGGTGAATGACAATAGGGGAATGGTGTCTTAAATTTCACTCCATTGATTTAACATCAGTTCCAGGAACACCACAAAAACCCATGGTGCAACATTTAAACATCCCTGGACCTTCCATCACTGACCTCAGAGCTGTCCTTAAAGAAAAAAATTTTAAATAACAACAATTAAAGTGAAGAACAATAAATCAGCCATAGATTGGATTGTGTTAACCATAGTCTCAGAAAAGAGACTATGCTTTAGTCTCCACATTATCTGGACTAGCTTTTAACTCCAGCTGTTTATTGCTATGTCTTTCAACGTGTTAACTGCCCTGTTTAACTCTACTGACCTTTTCAACCCACCTTCCAGAAAGGAAGACCCAAGTTCTAGACCCTCCTCAGTCTGAAGGGACTACAGCTCATCTCCCAAAGTAATTGCAAGGTAATGAGCTTAGTCTTAGCAAAGCTTGGAGAGAGGCCTAGTTTGGTAATCTAAAACAGGGATAGGGCAGGAAATGGGCACCAAGTCATCAGCTCAGTAAGACAGCAGTAGTTCTGGATATGCACAAGCAGAACTTCAGATACCTAAAAACTTTACTAATGAAAATGCAGGTGCTAAAATGGCCCTAGTGCCTAAACAGTTAAGTGGAATGTTTGTGGCCTACTTAGGTATAATTTAGGTGCACATTCCTATATTAGACCTGAGGCATGAATTTATATGCTACACTTAGACCATACTAAATCTGTGGAATATTAAGATGCGTTAAAGTTGGAATGTGCTGCACATACACACACATTAATACTGTTTTTTGCCTGCACAGCTCTAACTTCCCACTAGAAGGATTGTGAGCAGGGGCATGGCTAGGAACCAGGACACCTGGGCTCTATCTTTGCTTGGGGATGGTGAGTGTGGGGGGCTAGAAGCAGCAGCCTCCTGAGATGCTGAGTAAATAGCTTGTTTTATTTTCATGGAGCAGATTGAAATTACCCTAACAAGAGCTAGGTAGCACAACCCAGAATTTACCTTTGCTTGTGTTGATATAACTTTGATAGACTTAGAGGCCATTTCGCATGAATTAACAAGCTTCAACATTCAGACACTTGTGTTTTAAGTGACCTTAGTATGGTCTAAGTGTAACGTGAAACTTCACCCTTAAGCACTTAAGACCTTTTTTGGATGTGGTCCTATATAACTTGTCCAGGATCACATAGCTTGTATCAGAACAGGGACCAATACCCACATTACCAGCCTAGGATTTAGAAGACTAATAGGCATAGGAGTGTCCTTCTTGTCCCAGAGGATCTTTCCCATCTAGGGATACAATACAGATATTATCTGAAGATAGGGAATATAGACTTACCTATGTATATACTCTTGGCCATTGGCTAGTTTAAGTAATTTACAAAGATGACCTCTGCAGTAGAACTCATTAATTTCTATAATGTAAATTATTTCCTCAGATGTGTAGTTCCCATAAGTAAGATGGTTTTACTTGGCCATAAATAAATCAACAATGGAATAATCTTTATAGGCAGCACTCAAAAAATCTGACTCAGGAGGGAAAGCAAAACAATAAATAACAGAAAAAAGTTAACAGAAAAAAGACTCACAAAAAATACATTTGTGTTATGGAAGAAAGAAATATGTGCAAAAGCAATCTGCCCAAATTTAGCATTGCAGATCTGACATTCATTGTATTGATCAAAACCCTTATTTTGTCAGGGAAATGTTTGATAAATAGTATCTCTACATACATTCAGCAGTCAACAGGGCACAGGAAAATGCTTTAAGGTCTAAGATACAGCTTTGAACTCCTAATCAAAGAAAGACAGATGGCCTGAGCAACTAATGATTTGGGGTTCATTTTATCTTGTATGCCCTGTATAAGACACCTTAGAAGGTGTGCCGTATTGCCTTTAACTCAGTCCCCTTGAAATATTGAAGCTACCTTTAACAAAAAAAAAATGACATCCTCCCCTCTCCCAAATCACCAGTGACTTCTGAATTTACTTTGCATGTATTTTATGTTCACGTATATATATTTTGGTATACGGTTGTATGCACAGATGACACGGATGACCCTTTGGCCCTCATAGT